TATTTTGGCAGATTAAATGTGCGGAAAAATATTGAGTATGCGGTGGGGCAGGGAATCGATTAAAACCACATGTGATCCAGGTTTCAATAAAGAAAATGCTGAGATAGGGAGGATTAATATTTTTGCCAGATTGAATGAGTGGAATAAAAATAATGAGTACGTGGTGAGGCAGGGAAAAACGTCAAACCACACAGGATCCAGGTTTACATAGATACTGTTTGGGGAAGGAATATTTTGATGGGTTGGATGCCTATCATTATGTGGTGGGGCAGAGAAAAAAATAAAAACCACACATTGTCCAGGTTCAGAAATAAAAAGAAATGCTGAGACAGGCCTTGTCAACCAAAAGATGCAGCTTCTAACAAGGCAACTTGCCCCATTATCTCGCAGAAATGCAAATTTTATTTGGTCAGTCAGTTGCCCATCTTTGGTTTAATAAAAGATCCTTGGATCTATCTGATTGCTAATGTAGTTGATCCTCTATCCAAGTTAAAAATTTACATTTTGGAAATACTTTTGTAGTACAATGTACAAGTGTCTCCTGCTCACAGGGTACTGACCACATTTCACTGGAATTTGAGGTCTATTTGAGCTGAAGGCAGACTGAACAAATTTCAGACCTCAATAAAGGATAATGACTGAACCCTGACAGTGAAATTCAATCTGAACATTTGATCAGCTTAAATCTCTAACACACAGACGCTTATCTGGGTTCCCTCCCGCCATCCCCTGCTTAGAACTTGGGACTTGCTTCCACAGGCCTCGTTCTGAGGCCAAAATTGACAATGGACATCAGCCCACCACAGTGAGCCTTATTCATGCTGCTTGTTAACATAACAATAGCAAACGCACAATAGAGATCATTAATGAGCTGGAGACTGGTCTGGGTGCCGAACTGCACCGCATGTAGAGGGGAGACAGACGACCAGGAAAAATAAACATTGGCAGCTCGCCGATTAACATCGTGCCTAATACGAGGTTCTGTCATAATGCATGTATTTTTACAAAACCCTTTATCCTTGGTTAAACACAGATCTGTTGCTTTGCATGGTTTGAAGAATCTTACTGTATTAGATATAGGCACATAGTCCTATGTGCAATGCCCTAGATAGCTGTCACACTTCCTGGAAGATGTGATACTCTTTGCACTCAGCCTAACTCTTTATGCATAAGGTGGGATCACAAGCATGTATGCAGCTTTTAACGGTTAGAAAAAGAATGCTGTAAATCTGTACTGTGTTAAGTGGTTATATTCATGGTTCCAGAAAACTGCCACAGATCCCCACAAATCTGCACCACTTTGCAATCACTCGCCCTTTCTTGCAGTTATCACAGTTTAAAAATTGAAGGTTTCACGAAAGGTGGATTCTGAAGAGGATTCTAGCACTAATTATTCATAAAGTGGGCCAATCAGAGTTGCTTGTGCATTAACTGGTAGCCAATCACAGTCCATTATTTTAGCCAATCAGGCAAGGGGTCAGATTACTTCTGCCAGGCAATGCTAGTTTAGGAGGGAAATTCTCATGTGTAGATCATTCTGTCAGAGTTTGTTGGGCAAGCTGGGTCAATTTGATTGCTCTCTGTATGGAATAATTCTTGGAGCAGGATCAATTGGAATATTCTTTCTGTGGAATATTATGAGGACTGGCAGCTTGGTAATTCTGGTTCAAGCTGGGATCATCCTCTCTGTGGAGCACATTTGCTGTAGATGACAGTGCATTGCAGGCTGCAGGATTACTTCAAGCACAGACTATCTGGAGGGCTAAAGTGTGGGGCCTCTCCTTCTTGGAACATCCTTGCTGTCCAAGAGAACGCTGGACAAGTGTTATTTTTGAAAAAATAGTTGTGTGCTGTACATCTGAAAATTACTAGGAGTCACCTCGTGGATCCTTTGAGGCCAGGGTGTGGTTGGAAAGCTGGAGTGTGCTGAACCCGCATGTATGATCACACTGCATGAAAATAAAGCTCAGCGGGACCAGACCTCTTATTTGAAATTTAGCCAGAGGAGGGAATCCTGTTTGCTGTTGTTTGGTCGGCAGTGACTGAGCTATACTACTAGCACGATGCCCTCGGCGGCAGAAAGTCCTACCCTGACTGGCAAGCATTGCACACCAGTGAGGCTGACAACCCAGGGAGAAGCTCAAATGCACCAAGTGTTATTGCCTAAAATCAGCTAAAGAGCTTCCACACATTGTTTTGGAGAAAACTGCAGAGCGTAGCCCGGGTAGAATTGCTTGTCCTTTCGACAGCCCCCCATTTCCCCAACTACAGTGCTCACCTACTGTATTGGGTTAGTCCCAAAACATGAGCCTAACACTATCTCAGACATCACCTTTCTTTTCTAGCTGGGAGTTCTGTTAATGACTTCATTGATCGTGATCAGGGTGTTGTTAGATATGCTTCTTTGGATGCAGCCGTTGACATTGTGCGTAAAAATGTTCAAGGGGCATGGATGGCTAAGTCAGATATTAAGTCTGCCTTTCGGTTGCTTCCAGTGGCACCAGCCGATTATGAGTTGCTCGGTTTTACATTTCAGGACAAATTCTACTATAATCGATGCTTACCCCATGGGCTGTTCAATCTCATGTGCTCTTTTGGGGAAATTTAATACATTTCTTGAGTTTTGCATTTGTCAAGTTGCCAAGTCAGCAGCTATCACACATTACTTAGATGATGCAAAAATATGTTAGATGAATTTTTTAACGTGCTCAACGCTTGGGGTCCCCCTGGCAATGGAAAAGGCAGAAGGCCCACAGCAAGTCATAACTTACTTAGGCTTGATTGATTCCAAGCTTATGTAGGTGCATGTCGCACTCGGAGACAAAATTGTATAGGTACTGCTGAATAGAAAGAAGATCAAGTTGGTGGAAGTTCAGTCCTTGGTGGGTGTGCTAAATTGTGTGTCAGGCAGTGGCGCCAGGTAGAGCGTTCCTTCGCTGTATGATTGCACTCACACAAGGTCTGACTAAGCCCCATCATAGAGTGCAGCTTTCAGTTGGGGCCAAACAGGACTTGAAGACGTGGCTAGGATGGAGTTTCTACACTTCAGGATGTTGAGTTGTTTATCGCTGCAGCAGCGGGTATTGGGTTTGGGGCATACTCTATGGGGCAGTGGACAAAAGGGCGGTGGCCGCCATCAGATATTTCATCTCCTCCTTCCATCTCGTTTCTTGAGTTTTACCCAATCATGGTTGCAGTGCAATGCTGGGCTTCCCAATTATGCAACAGGAGGGTATGTTTTCATTCAGGTAACATGGTTGGACCGTTTTCGTTCTGTGGCCCCCCAAGTGGCACTGCACATGACCCCATTACCTTTTTTCCCCAAGTATAGTAGGGTCAAAGATAAGGTGTTTACTACCCTTGGCATGGACATCCAACACTCATAACGCATATGGCAACCGGTTGGCGAGCGTTTTGTAGATTTTTGCAGCACAGTGGGCACTCCACACAACTTCCAGCATGTGACAAATATGAAGTGAATGGAGGAAACACCAATTCAGAGGACACAAATGAAAATGTGAGATTTACAGAAAATGCAGGATCCTCTTCAATTAAACTACACTTTGAGCTCAAGAAATAATGTTGCCAAAATTCTAGATGTAGAGATGAGTTATAACAAGTTGTTCCAAGGTAGGAAAACGGGAGTAATTATGTTGTGTAGCTGGTTGACAAAAGTGAAAAGCAAAAATTCAGCAGAAGAAATGTAACGCAAAATAATTCTTGCAGATCTTGTAAGATTGATGCTGGTGATTAATGCCACAAATGCCTTGGTGTACTTGTGCTGTGTCTGCAAGTCACAATATATATAGCTTCAGTTGGTGGCTGGGATGCCTGGGGACAGCTCCTCAGGTGGACTGCAGATACATGTACTCCCCTCCAGACCCTCTTTCAGAACATGCAGTTCAATAACTAAGATAGAGAGCCAACACTTGTGAACATAGGAGGAAGACTTGGATTTGGAGGTCCCTGGTCGGTCCAAAGAAAAATAGTGCAGAGCAGACAAAATTCGGTAGGCATATAATCAGCATGATGGCAAAGTCTGGAATGCCAAGCTTGCCAAAATTTTGGGGCAAACTGTCACCCAGAACATGCCCTTACAACATGACTAGCCCAGGCTCTCATTGGACAACTTGAAAAATGTCACACATGACTCCAATACTGATTGTTCATTTAGTATCTAGGTAGATGAGAAAGAGGGGGGAGAGAAAAGAATGCATTCCGATTTGCGGAATGCCAGTGATACACTTTAGACACACGCAATACAAGGCCGGCTCCAGGCTATCTTTTAAACATAGAGACGGACAGAACTGTACGGAAATTGTACCTTTCAATGGGAAATCTAGATGATACAATCGTAAATGGACTAGAAAAATTATAAAAATTAGGCCTAAATTGTACAAGTTGGCATCTCTGCAAAAGATCAAAGGCTCACCACTGGAACACTGCTTACCAGTAGAAATGTCAAAAGCAACAATTAAAGTATGCAAAAGGAAAACATAGTCATAAAAAATAAAAGAGCTCTTTTGGGATGGGGTTACATGTTGCATAAAGGTTATAATTGGGGAAAGAAGGGTTCCTTTTCAATGTGTCTTTAACATTACTCAGCCAGCCTTGGGCTTAAAATTACAAACGTAATCTTAATGTCTGGAATAAAGATGGTAAATGCTAAAGAATGTCAGTTTGGCCCAAATGTGAATGTTCAAACTTACTTGCATATTATTCCTACAGTCTTCACAATACTCACCTTTGGAAACTAGACACTTTTACTTGACTGCTTTGATTACAATCATAGGCTGCATAGCTTGGGGCATCCTTCCATCAGCCCATTGCCATTGATTGTGCAGCTACATCATATTGTAAAGAATGTGCAGACAATCAGCAGATAATCAAGACTGTTAACCTCGAACAAGATGGAGGCCAAAAGTTCATTTTAAGATGCATCACGTTAGTTTTCAATTTGTTACTCTATGGGTACAGAACACATACAAAATGACACATACCAAAGCTGCTTGAAAAACTGTTGAAGGCTGTGTTGTGCCATGTTGATGCATTTGAGATGCATGACTGCCAACAAATCTCTCTCCTCTTCCTCTAAAAAAAATATGAAAAAAAAAAAGTTTATTATGAAAACGTGCAAAACTCCCCTAACACAATTACTGGACATTTCTACTAGAATGTACCTACCTATAGCATGTCACTACATCCTGTAGAGGGTGCAAATCATTTAGTACAATTTACTCAAAGTACCTTGCATTCCGCTCTCCGTAACACTTCTTTGCTCAAGTATACAAGCGTGAAAGCAGGGCTTGCAGAGTCGGGTAGTCCGACATCCCGGGACAACTGAAATATTTTGTCAGGCAACCTAATGTTCCAGGCTGCCAGCCCAACAGGCAAGCACCTGTTTTCGGCAACACATTTTTTGCCCAGCGTTTTGGACATTTCAGCACCGTGCACCGAAAAAAAATCGACATCCTAACCTTAATGTTACACGACTGTACATGTTCAGGTAGGTGCACCGTGGTACGTACGGTCATATTGTTGGCATGAGCAATGCAGCCGCGTCTGTCTTCAGTCGTTTTCCTTATTCAGGATCGCTTACACTATATTCAGTCATATTACAGCTCAATTATCATCAAATTCCAATGAAATGGGGTCAGAGGTCTACCTTGTACACGCATATTTTCAAATTTTGAGCTTTTAAGTTGTCTTACAAGATCGACAAAAGTGACGACACTTTTTCAAGTTCTGGATCAGTTTCACCAGTTCTGGATCGCTTCAAAAATTTCTTTACTATTAAAAGTAGTCAAGCATAAACCTATTTCTCTGCCAAAACCATTGTAATAAGCATATTTTCTACATGCAGTAAAGTAAGTCTTATTTTAAAGGGGATTTGTTTATATATTAGATTTTCAGTGCATCAACATGAATAGCCTGCATAACTTTTGACTTGACTTTGCTGCTCAGTGAGCTGTTGACCACAAATCCCCCCACGCTGCAAAATTGACGAACCCATCACATCACGTACTAATCTGTTACGCACATGTAGTTGAGTTCATGACGTTCGTACATGTACATGTACTGGAAAATTGCATGCGCGATCCGAAACTAGGAAAAACTTTCATGGAATTTTCCGAGCCCTGGAAAGTGTGGGTGTATACAGGAGTGGGGACTCAGAGGTAGGATGGAGACACTCTATCTTAAGTACTCTCTGGGAGAATAAACCCCCCAGGTGGGTTTTACTACATCTGTCTTAGCCACAGAATGCTACTACACATTTAACATTTATTTCATTTTTAAACGCCATTTCTATTAACAATTTCAATAGCACTGTACATATCAAAATACCAAAAAATAATGATTATACATTCATAACGGTTATGTAAAACTACAATTAAAATTATGTATAATTAAAAGTTACAAAAACTACATGTTATTTTAGAAAGCGGGTTTTGCCCTACCCAACGTATATATTGATAAACACTGTATGCTCAGAGCTCGTCCGAGAGCTTGCGAAAAATTCACAAGCTTACTCGGGTGGGACTCGAACCCATGACCTCCTGCTTACCAGTGAACCACACGATTAATAAAACATAAACTGACTCGCATAAGACCTTATAATTATTACATCTATCAAAGAGATACGTCTTGATGGCAAGCTTGAACTCATTTTCATTCGTAACATCTTTCAACTGGGTTGGCAAAGAATTCCAGTTGGTCAGGGTTTCCGTGCTGGTCACGTGATACATGTACACAGTGCTTGAGGGCACATCATTCGTGCTTGATTTATTTTACAGTTGCGGTTGATGCCCACCCAGTGCTT